GATTCTGATGTGACATATGTCAGTTCGGAATGGACATAGATTCCGATCTGACATAAATTCCTATCTGACATACAACACCTGTATTTTGTAAATCAACAATCCATTCTTTTAAAGCATTCTCCACTAGTGGATATGATGGTCTAATACTGGAACTGACCGTTCTACTTCTTATATTAGCATTTTTTAATTCTTCTTCTTTATTTCTCCATCGGATTATTTGTGCATGATTAACACACCAAACGTTTGTGCTGTCGCTCTATTTCCTACACATTTTGTGTATTCAATTGCTTCAAGTTTGGTAGAAACGGGATAACTCTTTCTCAATTGTATGCTTATTGTTGTGGAAGATAGTAATGTTATGACAATTATCTTGAGGTGTAATATGTGATTGTAACTTTTAATTGCTTGAGAGCTTTATTGACAGCACAATGGTATTTATTACATTCTGTAGCGCGTAACCACTACTACTATAATAATCATAACGGACTAACCATAATGCAAGCGGTCGCGAGCCAGCATCATAATGTGAGTAACGATACGAGTAATCACAACGCGAACCATAATTAAAATATTATTGGCATGAACTTACAGTAACAATAATAGAGCGCTCGAAATCATATGATATCTGCAGTTCGTGATTATGTAACTAGAAACAAAATAACGCGGACAATTGTTACGTGATGATTTTGTAGATCATTTTGCATTGTTCTAAACCGCAACCAAACGTCTCGTGAATAAGCACCACTTCATATGATGATAGTAGGTGCTTATTCATGAGAGTTTACGGTATATTTCACATTAATTGATTCTCTGCCTTTTCTCCGCCATATTTAACTTTCCCCACTGCTCTGCCTCTCTTAAAAGCCAGACGATTCGGCCTAAGATTCTACCTGCACCCTTATCCAGAGACTCCGATTCCTCCGTCCAATCCAAAACAGCTGGCGTTTCCGAATGCACGCTAATTTTTGGTTTATCGCCATCCATAATAAACTCGACAAAATACCACGCTCGGCCATCGGTAACGATTCCGTACGCCTTATCGGCAAACTCATCCTCGATCTTGTCATGCTTGCGCTTTCGATTAGTTTCGAGAGACAAATGTAGTTGGATTACGTTCTGAAAATTTATCAAAATTAGTAAACATAGGTACAGTATATCTGCATGCAAAAATTACGATTTTATTCTACCTGGGCCATGCCTTGGTCAAAATCTTCTTTTTTTACTTCCACAACACCGATTATTACTCCAAGGAGTTTTAAGCAGAAATCGAACGGACCTCGGCCATATTTTCCTGCAACATATAGTTGCGGATATAACTTTACTAATCCGTCAAAAAGCGATGTGGCTGTTACAAGAAAAGGGGAGATGTATTCACTCCAAGTGGCCTCTGTTTTGCCATGTATCACTTTATAACGAAATCTCAGATCTTTGCAAAGGTGAGCCATCAAATCTTTTGCTTTTTCTGAATCAAGTTTGTCGATATTGCAATTGAAAGTGGGAAATTCATCAATGCTTGATGCCAGGCCAAGGAGTTCACATACCTTACTGAGTTTCCAATTGGAGAATGGTTTTTGCACAGTATTAATTTGTACTTTGAGAGTGAGGGACACCTGCATGGCACAAGACTTGAGATATTGCTGAAATGTGGCATCATCTTCCAAACCTAACTCTTCACAATTTTTTTCATCAGCTTTGGTGAAATGTAGGGTTAAATCCTCAGGCTTTGTATCCTGTGGAAAAGGGAGGACTTTGAGAATTGGCAGCTTTATAGAATCCAATATCACTGTGCCAATATCAATGGGCCACAAGAAAGTCTTGCATTGCTTCCCATACAAAGCTTTAATGATGAATACTCTGTGATTGTTTTCGAATGATGCTAACTTTTCCTGAAGTTCTATAAGCTCACAGCTCGAAGTGGTGATTGATACAGGTGGTTCAACTATAATGTGGATATGCCTTTTAGGTGGTTTCTTGGTCCAGTAATCTCCTACATCTTGAATTGCCAGAAGTTCGACATCTAATGCAGGGTTGGCCAACTTGGAATTGTGATTGTCAGGAATTTTTACCTTCCATAACTTGAGTTTGTCAGCAGGGATATCATCAAAACATGGTGCCTTTTTCACTTTGATAGCCTCCTTGAGCTCACTAATAGGCTTATCCCTATTTATTTTAACAGAGAAAGCATTTGTGGATGTGTTTCCTTTGACAAGACAGATTAAAGTAATAGACATTTTGAGTTATGATTTTTTCATGGGATGTTATTGGTAGATTGGGGGATGGTACACAAGAAAAAAGTGAAAAAAACACAGACAAGATATGTGAGAAATGTATTCAGTTTCACAATGCCATGTATTATGTTGAAATTGGTCATAACAATCAGGGGTTTTCCAAAACTGCCCCGTAGTTGTTGCAGGAGCGTGACTTCTGTATTACATCTCTGGCCAGTTAAAATATTTTTATCTTTGGTTACATTTCGATGAATAGCTTGGGATTGAATTTTGTATAAATAAAATACTCTATTTCCCCCTCAAAGGCCTACACCTCGTTCCTTAGCGGATTGAACCCATATTTACTATTGAGCTCTAACGGGATCGAAATCTTATATTCTTATTGGCTAATTTCCAATACTATTAACGTTAATGGTAAGTTTTTCGAAACGTTATCTACATATGGGTCCGTATTATTTCATCAACAATCATTTCACCGACAGTACATTTCACCGACAATTAACTACCAAAAAAGGATAATGTTGGTGAAGATTTGTCGGTGAAATGATTGTCGACGAAATGATTGCCTCCCCTACATATACACATACAGTCTTTAAACCTTTCTACATATGACTATTTCCTAAAGGCTATTATTGTTATCCCTTAAACTGTATTGGAGGCAAATTGTTGTATGTCCATTTGGAATTTATGTCCATTCGGAATAGACATATGTCAGATTGGAATCATAAAGACAATCAAGTAACAACATTATAAAATTATTTTATTAACATTACAATATTAACTCTACTGCATATAAACATGTTATAATACACAGA